TTAATTTTAGCATTCATGGATGATTCTTGCCTAAAACAAGTGCTAGGTATCAAATGGTGATTTTTCTGTCATTTCCTGTGGCATTTATTAAGTGATATTCTACTTCAGAGTTTTCCCTTCTTTCTTACTTGTCTATACATTTATATATTTATCTCAATATGGATACATGGATTCTTATTTTATTCTTTGGGTTATAACCTGTTGTTATCAGTATTTATTTGGACGCCCAAACTGTCCCAGATTTGGCCTGTGTCTTCAAGCTGGTTGTGCTGTCCTTTTGACAAGACCCCATCATTAAATTTTTGAGGCTTGTTCTATGACCTGGCATCTCGTCTATACTATTCCGTGTGCACTTGAGAAGAATGTACATTCCGCTATAGTTGGGAGGACTGCTCCTCATATGTCTGTTAGGTCCACTTGGCTTATAGTGTTGTTCAAGTTGTCTATTTCCTTGTTCATTTTTATGGGTTGAATTCTATCCCCCCAAAAGAGACATGCTGGAGTCCTAATCCCCACACCTCAGAATGTGACCTTATTTACAGATAGGATCTTTACAAAGCTAATCATGTTCAAATGAGGTCATTAGTGTGGGCCCTGAGCCAATGACTGGTATCCTTATAAAAATGAGAACTTTAGACACAAAAACAGACACATCTAGGGAGAAAATGATGTGAAGAGACAAAGGGAGAAGATGGATATCTACAAGCCAAAGAGAGAGGCCCGGAACAGATTCTTCCCTCACAGCTCTCAGAAGGAATCAACCCTGCTGGCACCCTGATTTCAGACTTCTAGCCTCCAGAACTATGAAACAATAAATTTCTGTTGTTTAAACCGTTCATTTTGTGGTACTTTGTTACAGCAGCCCTAGCAAATGAATAAAGATTTTGGTACTGTAGCAAATACCTAAAAATGTGGAAGTGGCTTTGGAATTGGTAGAGGATTGAAGAGTTTTGAGAAGCTTTATAGAAAAAGCCCAGATTACCATGAGGAAAACTGTTGGTAGAACTATGAATGTCAAAGAGATACTTCTAGTGAGGTGTCAGATAAACACAAGGAACATATTATTGGAAATTGGAGGAAAAGGGATCTTTGTAATAAAGTGACAGAGGGGCTGGCCCAGTGGCATAGTGGTTAAGTTCACGCTCTCTGCTTCAGCAGCTCGGGGTTTGCAGGTTCGGATCCTGGGCGCAGACCTACACACCGCTTGTCAAGCCATGCTGTGGCTACATCCCATATACAAAATAGAGGAAGATTGGTACAGATGTTAGCTCAGAGCTAATCTTCCTCAGTAAAAAGAGGAGGATTGGCAATGGATGTTAGCTCAGAGCCAGTCTTCCTCACACAAAAAAAGATAAAGTGGCAAAGAACTTGGCTGAATTATGTTCTAATGTTTTGTGGAAAGTAGGACTTATAAATAATGAACTGGGATATTTAGCTGAGGGGATTTCTAAGCCAAGTGTTGAAGGCATGGCCTGACTTCTCCCTGCTGCTAACAGTAAAATGAGACAGGACAGAGATAAATTGAAGAATGAAAGAATGTTAAGCCTAAAGGAACTAGTTCTTGAAGATTTGGAAGACTCTCAGCCTACCCATATTGCCAAAAATGAAAAAGCATGCTCTGGAGAGAACACCTAGGGTGTGGCTGGACAATGAGGTAGACAATGTGGCTGGACAAAGCTAAAGAGCTGAGGTGTGTGACTTGTGAATCCAACCAATCTCAGCAGAAATACCACCAACTTGGACTGAAGGGGACAGAGAAAGGTGGAAATGAAGGAATGTTGCTGGCCTTCTGGGATTCTACACGCCGGAAACAGCTGATAGAGCTATCTAGCTGTGAACATGGGTTATCCTTACAGAAAAGGGAAGGATGGCCCTGATGGTGAAGCCATCTTTCCAATTCCAGAGGGCTGGACCACCATCCAGGGATGAGCGGGCAGGGCCACCACCCCAGTAGGCTCAGAGGACAGAGCATTTAGCCAAAGAGGATTATTCTCAAGCCTTAAAATCTCATGGAATTTGCCCTGCTAGGTTTTGGACTTGCTTGGGACTCACAACACTTTTTCCTGACTTCTTCCTTTTGGAATGGGAACATCTATCCTATGCCCATTTGATCATTGTATTTTAGAAGCAGATAATTTGTTGTTTACCTTGACAGGTTCACAAATGAAGCGGAATATTGCCCCAGGAAGAACCATACCAAGTCTCACCCATACCTGATTTAGATGATATTTAGATCAGATTTTGGACAGAGTTCATGCTGGAATAGATTGAGCTTTTGGGGGATGTTGGGCTGGGGTGAATGTATTTTGCACATGAAAAAGACACAAACTGGCCACGGGAGGTGGGGGCAAGGAGGCAGACTGTTATGGGTTGAATTCTGTCCTTTCAAAAAAGATATGTTGGATTTCTAACCCCAGCACCTGAGAATGTGAAGTTAATTAGACAGAGTCTTAATAGAGATAATCAAGTTGAAATTAGATCATTAGGGTGAGACCTGAGCCAGTGACTGGTGCCCTTATAAAAAGAGGAAGTGTGGACACAGAGCTGGTGACAATGAGGCAGGGGGTACTGGTAGAATAAGCTTCCTCCTGCTTTTTCAGAGAAGGGAAGGGGCCCTACATCAGAAGTAGGAGGTTTTGTGGGCAACACGGTGTCTGCCACAACTACTCAACTCTGCCATTACAGTGCAAAAGCAGCCAGACAATACATAAACTGTCTGGCTATGTTCCAATAACACTTGATTTATGGACACTGAAATTTGAATTTCAAATAATTTTCTCATTTCATCCAATAGTTTTGATCTTTTTTCAACCATTTAAAAATGTAAAAGCGTCTTAGCTTGCTGTCCATACAAATACAGGCAGCAAGCTGTATTTGGCTCATGGGCTATAGTCTGCCAACATCTAGTCTATATCCGTGAGTGAAGAACATACAGTGCAAAGTCTATCAGGAGTTGGCCAGGCTGAGTCCTCAGATTCCTCTCAGATATCCCTACTCGAATTACCAAGAGACAACATTTTCTAGACCAATGCATGTTTATATAAGGGACAGTGAGCATTTGAAGTGGATGACTTTTTAACTCAGCAAGCCAAATATATATTTGATTTCCACCATCTCAACCCCACAGCCATGAGTAAGCAATGATTTCAGCAACGTCACAGAGAGCTGCTGAGTTTAATACACCGCCTTGAGATGAGATTTCAGGGCTTCAAGTCTGTCATTGCTATGAGCTGATATGACCAGCAGTAGCCATCTAATTTCCTGTCACAAACTTCCTCATAAATTTAAAACTTTTCTATGGTAATAGTTCCTCAATGTTCCCAGAATCTTACCATCAGGTGCCACAAGGTTCTTGGTGTACACAAGCAATAACACTATTTCATACTGTGGGCTAAAAAGATCCCATCTTGGAATATAAACAAGAACCTAAAAAATTTTCTTCTTGTCTCAGGGAAAAATCTAAACCACATACTCCACTTTTCTCTAACAGTTTGTTATCTACACACTACTGCAGAACAACAATTCTCAATTAAAGCCCTTTGGCTACAAGAAACAGAAACTCATTCTCCTTAACTCCAGAAGAAAAAGCAGTTTTTACTGAAATATGAGGAAGCACATAGGCAGCCAGAAAACCAGGCTCAAAAATGGATGGTATCCAGAGTTTTCCAGGGGGGTGGAGGGGAACACGGTCCCGTGGCCTAGTGGCTAAGTTCAGTGTGCTCCGCTTCGGCAGCCTGGGTTCATTTCCCAGGCATGGACCTACACCACTCATCAGCGGCCATGCTGTGGCAGTGACCCACATACAAACTCAAGGAAGACTGGCACAGATGTTGGCTCAGGGCGAATCTTCCTCAAGCAAAACAAGAGGAAGATTGGCAAAGTTATTCTGGGAACTCAATATAGAAGGAACTAACTGAAGGTCTCAGTAGAATTCTGGGACAAGAATAAATGAGTTTCCACATTTCCCTTCTGGTTCATGTGTGAATTAGAGACTCAAAATCCTGGAAAAGAGGTTACCATTACCCAACAAGAGGCATAATGCTCACCTGTGGCTAGTGGAAAGGACACCCTGAAAGACACTACCACAAGGATGCACATGACAGAGGGGAGGTGTTTCTTCAGAGAAAACTAGGGTGCTCCTGTCAATCAATGGAAAACAGACACTAAACTGCTAAAATACAATCAATGTTTATTACGATTTCTCTTAAGCAGCAGCCCTGCACTCACTGCCAGACTCACTTATGCAGACTCCTGAATAACTCATTGGAGTGAGAACCACATCCTTTCATTCATTAAAAACCACAGTTTCCTTATATTGCTAAGAAATAAAGAGACGATATTGATATTTAGCATTTAATATGGAGAATATTGGGGGCTGTTATTCCACAAACTATTAAATACATGTATAACAAGTTATATTAAAAAATAAAATACCAAAAATTTAAAAAATGCTATTCAGTGTTACTCAGGAAAGTCACACTAATTATCCCTTAACCTTCAGGATATGTTCCTTGTTGTTTCCCTGACCATTACTTTATTTACATATCAAAATAAAAAGCAATTTTATATTCCACCTGGAAAAAGCCTACCATTTATAATCAAGATTTTCTTTATTCTAAAACACACCTTCAAATCTGGAATGTGACTCTTCACGTAATGCATTTTCTATGGGAAAATGCTTTCCTGATTTATTAAATGTATAAGGTGTTCTCAGTGTGAATTCTCCAAATTAAATCTTCATAATGATGCTACTACATCTGACAGTTATTGCTCCTCATTCCTTCAATTATTGTCATCTATAAATACTTGTATGACTTACTTCTGAAAGCTTTTGCTCATTCATTCCAAATATGAGGGGTCTCTCTCCTATATGACTTATTTGATATGAGTGTATTTTTCGGACTTCCGCTTATATATCCTGTCTATATCATCATCTGAAGTCTCCTGAGGATCAACTTCTGTGAGAATGCTTCTAACATCTACTTCATCCTCCCCTCTCACTTGTGAGTTTTTCGATGTATACGAAGCCCTGAATTCCAACAGAAGGATTTCCCACATTCAGAGCATTTCCATGGTTTCTCTCCCGTATGAACTCTCTGATGTTCACTGAGAGACGATTTCTGAGTGAAGGCTTTCCCACATTCATTGCATTTAAAAGGCTTCTCTCCTGAGTGAGTTTTCTGGTGTATCTGAAGGGATGCCTTCCTAGGATAGGCCTTCTCACATTCATTGCACTCATAGGGCTTCTCTGTTGAGTGAGTTCTCTGATGTATAATTAGCTGCGATTTCCCACAAAAGGCTCTCTCACAGAAACTACATTCATAGGGTCTCTCTCCTGTGTGTGTTCTCCTATGTATAACGAGGTATGATTTGCTGCTGAAAGCCTTCCCACATTCACTGCATCCATAGGGTTTCTCTCCTGCATGAGCTCTCAGATGTGCAGTGAGCTGTTCCTTCCTACCGAAGGCTTTCCCACATTCACTGCATTGATAAGGATTATTTCCTGTGTGTAGTCCTTGATGTACAACAAGTTGTGTCTTCATATTGAAGGCTTTCCCACAATCACTGCACTGATAGGGTTTCTCTCCTGTATGCATTCTGATGTGAACGAGGAGGTATGACTTACTCCTAAAGGCTTTGCCACATTCATTGCATTTATGGGGTTTTACTCCTGTGTGAGTTCTCTGGTGTACAACGAATGGTGACTTCAAACTAAAGGCTTTTCCACATTCACTACATTCATAGGGTTTCACTCCCGTATGACTTCTCTGGTGTAAAATAAGCTGTGATTTCCAGCTGTAGGCTTTCCCACATTCACTGCAACCATAAGGTTTCCCTCCTGTGTGAATTTCCTGATGGACAATGAGCTGTGACCTAAAAGAGAAGACTTTCCCACATTCACTACATGAGTAGGGTTTTTCTCCTGTGTGAACTCTTTGATGAGCATTAAGGTTTGACTTGGCACTGAAGGCTCTTTCACATTTAGTGCATTCATAAGGTCTCTCTCCTGTATGAATTCTAAGATGTACAATGAGCTGTGATTTACAACGAAAAGCTTTCCCACATTCATTACATACACAGTTTTTTTCTATACTATGAGCCCTTTGATGCTTAAGAAAATATGATTCTTCATATCCATGAACCTTATCAGGATTCTTTCTTAGATAGCTTCTGGTTGAACCTGAGTTTTGTGTGAAACTTATTCCATGTGTGTTATACTTATGGAGTCTTTGTCTTGAAGAAACATGGGTTTTGCTCAGATGAAGTTTTCCAAATGCATTACAAGCATAGCTTCTCTCAACACTTTCAAGCTCATCCTGATTTTTCTGGTACCATTCTTTCCAACCCTCTAGGGAAAAAAAACACAGTATTTTAAAAATCATAACACAAACCTGATATGGAATTAAAGAGCTTTAGAAATGCAATATAATGAGTCTTTTTCTTTTGGTAACAGGCCTCTGACACCGGTTCAAAAGAAATATTGGCTATGTGTACATGCACCATATATCTAAGCATGGGGGCGAGGGGAAGTGACTCAAATGAAGCCAAGTCCCATGATGGAAATGGGAAGTGAATTAGCAGTGATCAAAAATGGTTTTTAAAAGAGAGATTTAAAAAGTTTAGCTTGTACTGAGGAGCCAATGTCAATTATTTTATATCTGAATTTCATTATTGCAAGACTGTACTCAAAAAGTGAACTCACAGGATACAGAATAAGGAGGGTATACAATGAGACATTAAAAATGAGACTGAGTAGGCCATAGGAAAGTTACAAGCAACAGCGTTCCACACAGAAGGAAGAGCAGAGCCTGCCTGTCATGGTTAAGAAAGAGAAAGAAGGCCAGGACAGCCAAAACCACTGAGTGAACAGAGAGGACGCAGGAGCCAAATGAGGCAAAGCCGCAGAAAAAAGTTCTCTTCTCACCCAAAGGATTTTAATTAGAGGAGATCTCGATTCATCTTGTGCTTTTAAAAGATCAGTCTGGCTGTCATCTAACAAATCAACAGGAAAAGGGCAGAGATGATCATAAAGCCATCATCCTAGTCCAGGGTGACAGGACAGCAGTTTGGATGAGACGTCTGCAGCTGAGCAAACGTGGAGCAGACCTGGAGTGAGAACTGAGAAAAGTTCCTGAGGGACTGGATGTGGGAGCCAATGGGAGGATTTAATGACTCCTAGATTTTAGACTTGAGAAACAGGTGGTGCTGCTCTTTGAGATGGAAAACACCGGGAGAGAAACATGGTTGGAGGAAAAATGAAGGACTTTGTTTTGGATCTTATTACATTTGAGATCTCAGTTAAATACCCAAATGGAGACAGCAAGTACGCAGTTAAACTTAAGTTCAGCGCTCGGTCAACAGTATGAGTCAACCGCATAGAGAAGATATTCAGTGATGTGATGGATGAGCTCTTCCAAGGAACACGTGACAATTGAAAGGGATGCCAATAGCCCTGGAGCAGATGACATTTAAGGTTGGACAGGAGATGCAGAGGGAAGGGGAAAGTCCATCTATGAGGCCCAAGCAGTAAAATGATGATGAGAGTGACGAACAGAGGTTAAAGGAAAACAACAGCAGCAGGTCAAAGTCGGGACAGCACTCATCAGGTACACAGCCCCGACCATCTCATCACAGGATTACTGCGGTGGGATCTTCAGGAGCTTTCCTACCTCCTCAGGACTTGTTAAACACTGTCTTCCCAGTAGTGGTGGGACGAATCAGTGAGGTTTGAGCCTGAAAGTGGGGCCACCACAGTCTAGCGTGAAAGGTGAGCATACTAAAACCAGGGGCAAGAACAAAGGAATCCTCAGGCTCACAGACTTCATCTAGACAACTTTTGGTGGTTGTTAGTCAGAAAAAAAGAAAACTGACTGGAAGCCTATGAATTTTTGAGGGACCCTAAGCCTGGTCTGGTATCAGCCTATGATTCTTGAACCCTACCCACCCCAAACTCGCACCAAGAAGTGGCCTAATGAAACTTTATAAGAGCCTCAGAAGGGGCATTCTCCCCAAACCTGATCTCCTCTGTGGCCCTGGAGGACAACAGGAAGGAAGACTCTTTCAGAGTCAAGTGCCAGGACTGTGAAATCAGATAACAAGGAAATTACACCAACACTAGGGCAAAAAAGTCTCCCCATATCATTTCCTAAAAGAGATGAGGTGTGCAATGGACCAATGATGACTGTTGTCTCCCATCCTCACCTTCCGGAAAGAGGAGCTTCTATTATGATGTTCTGCTTTCTTCCCAGCCACTGTGCACGTCTGGAATAGACAATCTGTCTTTAACTACATGTCAGTGCAGATGGTGAGGCCACATCACAGCTGTCTGACGTCACTGCACACACCCCAAGAGAGCCTAGATGTGTAACGCGATTCAGACCCATGATGAGAACTCACACTGTCTCCCCTGTGGGAAGGGACGATGACATTTCATGTCACCATCAGCATTTCTGAAGATGCACAGCTGGAAAGAAGGGCATATTGTGTTGAACATCCAGAGGTGGGACTCTAATATGCACTGTTCACCGCACACTCAAAGGCATTTCCCCTCCTTCTGTGCAGCAGCCCTGACTGGGTGAGGATATGGTCCATGTGGTCTGCCCAACAGGGGCAGAGCCCCAATGGAGCCTGCCCCACTCCCCACACTGTGACTGGCTTAGGCACTGGCATTTCAGTTGTAAGAAAGCATTCTGGGGAAGATTTTGGGCACCGATGAAAAGGATATTTTGGAAAGAAACAGGACTCATACAGTGGTTCCTGTTGTGTCTGCATGTGATGCCTGGCACTGAAGCACCTACCTGGAAATGTTGAAAACAAAAGCGTTAACATCAAGGTTGGACAAAGGGGAGACAGATGAACCTTGACCCCTGACATCACCAAGCTTTTGAATTAAGCCACCGTGGAACTGGTGCCCTATAGCAGACAATTTGTCATTTGAGACTATAAATTCCTTATTGTTTATTCTGGTTGAATCAGGGATTTAAGATACCTGTTTATCTTCTCAGACTAGTGATAAGGATGCTTATGAAAATAAATCCAGCAACAACAGCTAAGAAGAAGATGAGAGTTCTCAAACATGGTTAAGAATTGGAGCTATCCAAGTATGAGAGAATACTGATGTAGTCCAGGTGACAATCGAGGAGACAGGAGCTATAAAGATATTTTCAAAGAATATAATACTAACAGAAACAGAAACAGTAGTGAGATTAGCAAGGGAGAAAGGAGACAGGGGTACCCAAGGTGACCCCCCCGAGGCCAGGACAGAGCACTGAGCACTGGAAGTGCAACAGCAGTAATAAAAATTGGAAAACTGAGGAAGAAGAGTCATCTTAGAAGGAGTTCCTTCCCATTTCTGAAACTGAGATTGAAGAGTGGGAAAGCTTGGGGGCTCTCCAGCAAGCACGTAAAACCCAGGACTAGAGCGCAGAATAAAAAGGGGATGAGGACATCAAATTTGATTTTACACCACTGAAGAGAAAAAAAGCGGAAATTTTCAGAATGGAAGAGGCTTTCAATAGTTACAACTTAAGAGAGAACAGCCGAATTTGGGAAACAAAACCCTTAGGACAAATCGAAAGAGAAGACTAAAAGAAGCCAGGAAACGTAAGGTGATGAAATCATTTAATGATACAGGTGAGACCAGGCCAGGGTTCAGAATTCTTTTAAGAAAAGTGCCCAGGAAAATTAACAGTTATAATTTCAATGTGATCAGCATGAGGAGAGAAGAAAGCAATGAAATCTTCTAAGATGGTCAAGACGAGGGAAGGAAGTAAAGACTGTGGGTAAATCCTGAGGGATTTACCTGAGGAAGGCAGAAGAGAAAGTAAATGTAAGGGAAGCAGAGGCACAAGTCTGACCGGGTGGGAGGAAGGAGAAACTCTCTGGAGGCCCGGATGCCCGATGCGGTCCACGCCCATGGGAAGGCAGACAGAGAATGAAGGTGCTAGAAGGAAGGAAATTAACTCAGAAAGCAACACCTGAGCAGAGTGCAGGGAAGGGCACGCCTACCTCTCAGAGCCCAGGGAGGAAGGCCCAGACGCGGGAAGAGCGATGGCCGTTTCCTCATCTGAGGAGCTTTCGGGGTCCCTGAGAGGCCCCAGGATTGAAGGACTTCAAGGACAAGTCTCTGCAAACCACACTGTCGGAGTGCCAGCCCCAGGTCACTCCCACCCCTCCCTTTTCCTGCTTCCCATTCACCCACCTGCACAGCTCGGAGGGGAAATGCTGGCATTTATTATGCACGGCTCTTCTCCTTGCTCCAACTTGAAGATTAAATCAGGTTTGGAACCACAATACCCTGTTAACAGAAAATCACAAAGGATCAGCCAAACCGCTAGTGATCAGGAGCTACAAAGTGAAGCTGCTCTTCTGCACTTGGGGAAAGATTACAATTAGGAGGTGAGGGCCTCCTAATAGGGACTCCAAATACAGACTAAGAACATCTGACCCCTGAAGTTCACGTCCATAATCATTAAGTACTTCAGAGGCCCCAGAGCAGGTCAACAAAACAAAAACAGATGGCAACTGATGATTCACAGTCTGAGCTACAGAGAGACGCTGTACTTACCCACGGACAGCAGGTTGCTGTAGTTTTCCAGTATCACATTCCTGTACAGGTACTTCTGCATAGAATCCAGTAACTGCCATTCTTCCCAGGTGAACTCCAGAGATATATCCTTGAATGACAATAATCCCTGTAATAATACACACCCCATTCAATTGATGCAATTACATTAGGTGACGTGGAAAAGATGTCGAGTTACTGGGAGAGGAGAAATGTTCCTCCACAGACTGCCTCCGTGCCCAGTCAGCATTCACTTTGAGAGACAATTAAAAATAAATAAATAAAAATTTTAAAAAATTAAATTAAAATAAATAAAGTAAAATAACTGCGCTTCTCTGTGACAGATATTCTTTTGGGTCCCGAACATTTCAAGATGAATAAAACTCACTTCTGCCCTTGAGAAGCTTTCAGTCTTGTAGAGGGAAAGAAACATTAACACATACAAATGAAATAAGGTGTTTTGACTCTTTGATAAAAACATACCCAGGGTATACCTTGCACAGAGATGGAAAGAATGGTTCTAAATAAAGGTGCCAGACACATGGGAAGGTCGGACCCTCCAGAAGCGTCTGTCATCTTGCTGGCTGCTCAGCCCACCTTCAGTCTCAGTGGAAGTAAGAGTCTGGCACCATAAAAAAAAAAGGTGCCAAATAGGTGAATTCCTAGCCTTTCTTCAATAAAATAAGGGGCCTATGACTGAGGCCAACCAGGGGACACCCCAGCACAGACTCTGAATCTGGAGCTGGTGTCACAGAGCCACAGACGATGGAGAGCCACCATGGATGGGTGTGGGATGGTGGCAGTCTGCACCCAGGGGCAGCCACAGGTCCTCACCAGGCAGCTCTATGGCAGTTTTGGGTGTGCAGCCTGCAGGCGTGGTTCTTGACATCTCTGTGAGCTGCTGTATGCCTACAATCAATTCCTTTCATGAGACCAAAAAAGTAGTAACAAGCCACAGATCACAGAGGATCATTCAACAAGCATGTGCCAGGCACATGCTTGTGCCAGGATTAGGCACCAACCATGTGCCAGGATTGCTCAAGGTGCTAGGGACCCAGCTGGGGACGTGGTCCCTAGATTCAGTGGGTTTCTGTTCCTGCATGGGGAGACGCCAGCAAACACACAGCTACCTGACACGCAGGTGGTGAAGGCACTCTAACAAGACCCAGCAGGGAGGGCCGGCCGCGTGGCTTAGCGGTTAAGTGCGTGCGCTCCGCTGCTGGTGGCCCGAGTTCAGATCCCGGGCGCGCACCGATGCACCGCTTCTCTGGCCATGCTGAGGCCGCGTCCCACATACAGCAACTAGAAGGATGTGCAGCTATGACATACAACTATCTACTGGGGCTTTGGGGGGAAAAAATAAAATAAATTAAAAAAAAAAAAAAAAAAAAGACTCAGCAGGGAAAGGGGACAGAGTCCAAGGGGGCAGGCACAGGTGCTGTTCCAGACGGGGTGATCAGGGAGCCCTCTGGTGAGGCGACATTTGGGCAGAAACCCAACCGATGTGAGAATGAGCTCCAAGATTTCTGCAGGAAGATCCTTCCAGGCGACGTGCAAACAACAAAGGCCCAGGCCTGCAGGGCTCAAAGGATACAGTAAGGACTCGGGGTTTTACTCCAAGTGAGGCAAAGCCACTGGAAGGCCCTGAACAAGAGGGGCAGGCTCTGACTCACATCTGAGACCATTCTGCACACTACAGAGCAGGGTGGTCCTGGTTCCAGGGGAAGAGGAGGGTAGCTGGGGCTGGAGCAAGAGCAATGGGGTGACGAGCAGTGGCTGTGCTCTGGGCATCACACGAAGACAGAGCCAGAAGACGTCCTGAGAGAGATGACGCGGCACGTAGAGAGAGAAGGATCTTGAGGACGACGGCACGGATCCTGGCCAGGCAAACTGACGATGCTACCCTTTAACGAGGTGGGGAAGCCTGGGGGATGAGAAACAGAGGGAACGAGGGGCTGAGATGGTGAAGCAGCAGCTAGAGAGCAGTGCCCAGAAGTGGGTCATTGAGGAGAAGTGTCCCCATTAAGGAGAGCACCTGTGGGAAGAAAGGGAAGGAGACAATGTCTGTGCAGCCTGGATGTCCACCCAGCCCCCAGTCAGGAGGAAGTGACCTGTGTTTAGGGATTTCAGGAAATTTCAGTACACAAGGAATATGATATCTGATTGCCTCTGGGAAATTCTGAAGATGGAGACTGCTGGAGTGCTGCAAAGGCAGGTGAGAAGTGACGCCCAGGAGACTCCTGGACTTGATGCCCTGGACAGGCTCCTACCCAACAGCACTATCTGCAGGGAGGGGGACCCCGGAGGGAAGAGACAATGAGTGCAGTTCTGGGGATCCTGCAGAGGTAAGTGAGACAGAGGTACTCACATCATGGAAATAGAGGGTTGAGCCTTGTCACAGGCTCCTAGCGACCCCCAGGTGCTGAGTACTGACCGCCAGACAACAGGAGCTCTGTCCTCTAATCACCCTGGTCTTCCCATCATCACCCAGGAGCCCCCACAGGAGGGCAACAAGAAAAGGAAGTGGGAATAAAGAGATGAGCCTCCCTAACTCCCCCCTACAGCTGAGTTGGGGAAGAAGCGGGCTGCAATTAGAGTGTGGACTGGATTTTCCAAAGCCTGAAAGTAATGACAGCCAAATCAGATTGTGACCAGAACATCATGGGCTCTCGCTCAGAGGACCACCAGGGCCAGGGAGGGAGAGCTGACAGGGCATGTCTGAGGTTGTGATGGAGAAAAATGAAGCTGTGACGTGTCTGTATCCTAATCAAGCCCGGGCCATTCATCAAGCCAGCTACTTTACAATGAAGGGAGAAGGGCCAGCCCCGGGGGCCTAGTGGTTAAGTTCGATGCGCTCCACTTTGGCAGCCCGGGTTCAGTTCCCAGGTGCGGACCTACACCACTTGTCTGTCAGTGGCCATGTTGGCGGCTCACCTACAAAAAGAGGAAGATTGGCAACAGATGTTAGCTCAGGGTGAATCTTCCTCAGCAGAAAAAAAAAAAATGGAGGGAGGAGAAACATGAAGGACAGTGCACAACGCCACTGTATAAAAGTGTGAGGCAGACACCACAAGTGTGAACGTAGACCAAAGCAGCTAATTCTGGGGACAGGATGGAGGAAGAAAGGTACAGAGCAGAGAGTGGGGGTAAACCAGGAGGCTCATTCTATTTCAAGCCTTTTATTATTATTATTATTTCTTTTTTGGTGAGGAAGATTGGCCCTGAGCTAACATCTGCTGCCAATCTTCCTCTATTTTGTATGTGGGACGCTGCCACAGCATGGCTTTGAGGAGCAGTGTGTGGGTCTGCGCCTGGGATCCAAACCCACAAACCCCAGGCCCCAAAGCAGAGCACATAAACTTAACCACTATGCCACCAGGCCGGCCCCACCTTTTACTATTTTTTAAGCTTGATAAGAATAAAAATAAAATACAAAGAAACTATTTTTAAAAATTTTAATTGGCCAAGTATGATCAACAAGAGAACGTAAAAAAAGAAAACTGTTATGACCAACACAGGGTCCATAACTCTAAGAGAAGAGATTTAAAAATTTGTAAGAGATTATTATACAAGGCAGTTCTGCTGCCATGCAACACTCATGTTGCAAAAAATCACCGCTATGCAGAGTCGCACAGGGAAAACCATGGGGCTTATGGGAAGAAGGGGTTGCGGCGTAACCCCTCTGCCAGCCACACACAGAGCAAAGCAGGAACCTAAGAAAAACAGCAGAGTTGACACATTTGATAGTTAAGAAATACATAAATACTACCACGAATATGCACTTTACCTCGAAACAAAAGACCTGATGTTGGGGTGTCAGAAGGGCTGCACCTTATTATAAAGCAGTAGAAAGAGGGTTGTCTGAAATCAGACAAAAAGCTCACATTGTTCCCTAAGATATCAATCACGCTGAAACAAATTCACGTTTTTAAAACAAACATGACAGCAGAACTGACTGTATTTACGAATTTGTTCCAATAAACTTGAAAACTTAGAAGAAATGGAATATTTTCTAAGAAAATGAAAGTAATGATGGCCCAGAAAGAATTAGGAAAGCCAGACTGATCAGTCAATGATCATAAAATATATTGAACTAGTATTCAAAGATATACCCTCTCCAGAAACCCAATGGTCCCACACAGTATATTTAAGAGTGAGTTCTATCAACATCCAAGGAACAGAAAATCCCATCGTATCTAATCAGATATAGATCCAGGAAACGATGGGATGCTCACGCCATGCATCAACAAACTTGCACAACCCCGCAGACAAAACCAGGCAAGGAGAGCACCAACTGTAGTCTAATCTCATTTATTATTAACTCTGATCAAAGTACCCAGATAGAAACATTAGTAAAGTAAAACAAATCCTGTACATACATAGATAGCAAACTACGACAAGAAAGTTTATCCAAAAAATTAAAAGACAGTCCAAAATTAAAAAAAAACCCTATCAATCAAATAAGTCACCTTAGTACATTAATGGAGAGCAGCCAAACAATCATCTCAATAGATGAAACAAAGTAATGTGATAAAATTCAACACTCTTAAAAATCAGAATTCAGTCTGCTAAAGGTAAAAGGAATTTCCTTGACACAAGAAAGGTTTCTTCCCTAAACCTGTAGAAAGTATCATACTTTGTGTGAAACATTAAAAGTATTTCCTTTAAAGTCAGGAAGAGACACGGATGCTCATATCGACACCACTGGTCAATGCTGTCCCAGAGGACCAGCCACAGCAGGAACAAAACAGATGCCAACGAGAAACACTGAGCGAGAAGAAAAACTACTGCCATTATTTACACACATCTGATTGTGTGACTAAAAGACCGAAGAGAGTCGCTGACATGAGAGCCAATAAGAAACAACAGGGTGGCAGTTTAGAAAAACAACAATATGGAATAGCTTTTGATACATTAGCAGTAATCAACTAGAAAATGTAATAAGAAAGACTACAACAAATCCAGAAAGTACTCAGGAATAAAGCTTAAAAATACAGAAAAACCAAACAAAAAATACACACATGATAAAATACATCAGTGCAGAAGAATTAAAAAGAAAACAAAAGACCTGAGTAATTGAAGAGTTACACTACATTCATGATGCGTAGACTCAACATGGTAAAGATACTA